TGCAGAGGGTTTGGAATTTTAACAAGAAAATCAGATCCTCTTTTCTTTCGTTTGGTTTGAAATTTCATCTAGACCAATTATAAAAAAATCATATACATACCTCCATAGATATGTATTTGGAATGAAATTTACAACTTTAATTTTATTGGTCAATATCGTGACTCAAAAATCACGCAATTTCTTTTGTTTTTCTATTGGTGCTTGATAAAGCTTATCAACATGTTTTATCGTAAAATATATATATGACCAATCATTTTTCATATTTCTCATCTCTCTTTCACTTCTAATGATGAGATAAAATTTATAGTGAATAAGCTTGAGCACCATGATAGCTATTCATGTCAACATATCTCTTTGAATTTTTAATATTGTTGTTTTCACTTTCAAAGAATAACAACAGTTGAACGAGCTTTGTATCATTTCAAGTTTAGCTCACAGCTCTTGCTCTATTACAATATGCAATCAAATTTCTTGATTTTGCTATTATGAGTGCAACTTGAGTTTTTATGTTGCCACTTCATGATCATAATATAGATCCAAAATATTGCTACTGCGGTAGCATTTCAATTCACAAACTTAGAGAGTTTTCTCTCTTATATATCTCCATAAGTAACTTTATTTTATGTTACTTTTACAAGACACGTAACAAAATATTTACTCGTTCTTGAAAATGAAACAATAATTTTGCTCGGTGTCTTCTAAACACATTTTCATTATGAAATATTTGGCTTGTATTTCCAATACACATATATGGATCTTCAACTTCAATGTTCCATAACTTATAGTTACATTTGTTCTTGAACTATCGAATATATATAATTTCAAATTGCATGATATGACTCATACCATTGAATCACAAATGAATAGTCTTTTCGAGTATATATATATATATATATATAATCTCAAGTTTTCAGTTTTATTGCTTAAAATTATGTACTTGATTTGAGCCTGGAGGCTTCATATAAATCTTTATAGTACTTGATATGAAATAATAGTACTATAATTAACTCGAATTTTCATATATATATATATATATATCATTGAACCAGAAACTTAATAGTTCTTTCAAGTACAATATACTATTCAAATATCAAGGATTGAGTTTTATACCTTGAATTTATATACTCGATTTAGGGTCTTAAGCCCTATAATTGGTACTTAATCGTAAAATAATAGTACCTTGAGTAGGAAATATCCATTAACTCAAATATTCAATTTTGAGTATCAGCACTTAGACCTTGAGTCTAATATATTCAATCGAGAATTCTAGTCTTCAATTCAAATTTAATCTAGGCCCCAAGCCTTTATATTTAATATTCCTCCATATAAGCTTTCAAGCTTTCATATTTAAACTAGGCTTCGAGCCTAAAATTTATAAACTTCGAGTTCTTTTTCGATTGATGGAGCTTTTCAAGTTGCACAAATTAGGAGCAAGTGGTTTATGCTTTTTAATATATCACTCAAATCTTCGAGACACTTCATTGCACGTGCTCGATTTGGACTTCAAGCCTCAATATATAATAAAATTGTTATAGTACACTGATCATCAAAGAATAGTACTATAAATGGGGAATACCCTCTAACTCAAATGTTCAAGAGTCTTATTATTTAGACTTCAAGTCTAATATACTCAATCGAGAATTTTGATCTCGTATGTAATATAGGCTATAGGCCTATAATCGTCCCTTTTATTTTAGGACATCATGTTCAAAATTCGCACAAGGAACAGCTCTGGCAGAGCTAAGTATTTTAAGCCTATCTCTCTCGATAGAGATCCGATTTCAATGATTCAAAATGTTCCGAAACGCCAACAGAAAATGCTATAAGTTTCGTATTTTGCATTTTCTGAAATTCGGACATTATCAGGTCCAAAACATACATCGAAGTACAGACTCGTGAATTGCACGAAAATTCACCTACAACAAAATTAAGATGGTTAATATTTAATCAATTTAAAAAAAAACAATAAAATATTTGAAATCAACTCCCTTTTCATCTTCTATGGTTGAGAAGTAATTATCTTCTTTGGACCATCTTTACTCGAAAATTAAAGTAGAACAATCGTGCTGATAACGTGTTGAGAAACTAATAAAGAAGAACAAAGCAAATATGAATTGACATAGTAATATAGAGAGAAACAAATATATTATTCTCTTGTTCTTCTTGTGTGTCCAACTCAATATAATGGAGCACTATATATAGTACAAGTAAGACCATGAAAGGTCATGAGTTACAAGGAATTATGAGCCTATAATGGTGAGTAAATGGTGGGAGTAGTGGTGGGAGTAATTGTGAGTAATGGTACACCTTTAAGAACTCATAACATAAGTCATATTCTTCCCCACCCAAACACTCGTCCACCCACCAACCCGTCCTGCTCCTCCTCCACATCCGCTCATACAAGGCGGTGGCTGCTGCTTCAGAGGCGGTAGCGTCAACACCTCGAACATTAATGGATGACGAGAAGAAAGCAATCCGACAACCCGAATTCTTGAAACCCAGAACCCTGATGCGATTATTTCCGGAAATGGATTCTGTCACTCAACAATTGCAAACCCATGGATTCTCCTTCTCAACTCATGGGCTCGCCTGAAATGGGAAGATGAAGATGATTTGTGGTAATGGATTTTGGTTGGTTTGGAGAAGAGGGCTTTTTGAAAATATTAAGGACTAAATTGGAAGAAGGCTCTTTTCAGGGTGAGTCTGTAATTTTCGAAAAAATTAATATAAAGGGCATTTAGGTCTTTTCAGTAAAAAAACACAATCTCAGTCCATAATTTGCAGAGGGTAGCGCACAATCAACTCGCAGGGACTTCATTGGTTTTGACTTCTCATCATAGGGGAGGTAAATGCTAATCGTTTTAAGATATGAGCTATTCCAGCTTACTAAAAACTCTTAAACTAAGGTCATTTACTAGGAATAGCCAGTCACTTGTGAATTCTGTGGAGTTAGATGCTACAAGTTATTGTTTATACGGCGTATATTTAAATTGTAGATTTGATTAAATAACTATACAGTAAACACACATATACATGAGTGTGATTATATTTAGATCTACCGTTCAAATTCACACAGTGTAAATAACCCGATGTAACATTTAATTTGCCAGTGAAATCTTAACATAGTAATACTCGAAAAAAAAACGTTGATTTTTATTTTTTTAATGTAAATAATTTATGTTTAGAAAGAATACAATCCTCAACTTTTTATTTCGCAAGTATCCAATTATCATTTAAGAAACCTTCTTAATATTCA